ATGCATAAGAATCCCATCTGCAGATCTGGCAAACTCTATTCCTAGAAAGTACTTCAACTCTCCCAAATCTTTCATTTTGAATGCCTTCTGTAGTGCTGTCTTTGTCTCTTCAATTAGATGTAGAGAGGTACTAGTGACTAGCATGTCATCTACATACAGTAGCACTATCACTGTGCCTTCAGTAGTCTGCTTGATGAACAAAGAGTGATCATATTGGCTCTGAACAAAGCCAAATTGATATAGAGCTTCTATGAGTTTCTCATTCCACTGTCTAGGAGCCTGTTTCAGGCCATATAAGGATTTATGAAGCCTGCACACTGGTTGAGACTCCCCTGGCTTCTGAATTCTGGTGGCAATTGCATATAGATCTCATCAAAGAGATCACCCTAAAGAAATGTATTATACATATCCATCTGATGAATGTGCTACTTCTGAGCTACAACTATTTATAGAACAATCCTCACAATCACCATTTTAACTACAGGTGAAAAGATTTCCTGATAATCAATCCCCTCCTTCTGATTGTACCCTTTAGCTACCAACCTGGCTTGAATCTCTCCACCTCACCTGATGCCTTGTATTTGACCTTATATACCCATTTACAACCAATTGGAACCCTTCCTTCAGGAAAAGAGACAATGTCCCAAGTGTGATTGCTTTCAAGTGCTTCAATCTCTGCCTTCATTACATCTATCCACCTAGGATCTTGACTGGCTTTAGCATATGTAGCAGGTTCTGTAATAGAGGAGAAGGCTGCAAGGTAAGCTTGGTATTGAGGAGACAGGCCATTGTAGGAGACATAGTTTACAATCGCATATGGTACAACCTCATGTACATTCATTGATACAAAGTCCTTCATCCAAATCGGAGGAGTCTTTGGTCTAGGGGATCTTCTAACTTCTTCTTCTACAACTGAGGGGATAGCTGGCAGTTGTTGAGTAGATGGAACCTGCACTTGAGCCCTGATCAGGACTATCTCTAGTTAGATGAGCCAAGATTGATTCTCCTTCGCTCTCACTTGCAGCATTATTGTCATGAACATTCTCATTTGTATCACTGGGCACATCTCCTATATCGGAGTGTGTCAACTCAACCTCATGCTAATTACAGAGGTTCTCTGATATATCATTCCAAGATTGCTAAATAGATCCCTGCAAGTTGAATTCACAAATTCCAATCCATTGTCTGTCCTAATAATCTTAACACACTTGTTATGTTTTTTTTTACATAACAAGAATCTATCGAGCCTTTTCCAAATTCTTTTGCTGGGTCTTCGATTGTTGCACCAAGTAAACCTAGGTCCAACATAGCCTAAGTCCACCAGGCCACAATTTCCATAGTAGCCGTGAAATCAGTGCTTCTATGAAGGCGATGGGGTCTGCCCCCCAGCTTCTCTTCAGATTCCATGATTATATTGAAGTCTCCTCCAACGCACCATGGGCCAGTAATGTCATTGATAATGTTTTCAATATTGGCCCAAAGTTCTTTTCTCTCTCTGGCAGTGCACTTAGCATAAACAACAGTAACATGAATGTATCTCCTATCATTATCTTTGATGCGTAGAGTGAGATGTTTATCCTCATTTGCAGCTATGTCCACCTGACAATTCCAGAAATACCTATTTGGTCATTGGTATTTGCTAGGTAGTGTTGAAAGCCCAAGAAGTTTTCGTAACCCTCAATCTTTCCACTATCTTTGAAAGGTTCAAAGATAGCAACAAAGTCATTTTTATTGATGTTGATCAATTTTTTTAATCTATGAATTTCTTTTTTGGACCTTACCCCTCTTATATTCCAGAAAATTGCACTAATCATTGAAAAAACTAGAGGTTTGAGGTCCTTATTTTAGCTCATTTCCTCTGTGGAACATGAGTGTTCTTCTCTTTAATTCTTTTGCCTCTTCCTCTTTGTCTGCTTCTCCCTCTACCATTAGGAGACCAATTACCATTATCTGTATCCTCTTCATTTTGTATATACCCTGAATTCCCTGCATCTCCTCTTCCTTTATCATTTTTTGAAACTGTATGACCCGTGTCAAGCTGCTGTGAATCAACTCCCTCCTCCAAATTTCTCTGTTTGCCGCAACTAGCAGTTTTGTTACAGCATAAGTCCACGAACAATTGGATTGGTGGCGCTTTCTTGAGCTCTGAATCAATACTACTTGTTTGGAAATTTTCAACTCTGTGTTCCCTCTCCCTGTTTCAACAATCTCCTCTTCGCATTGTTCTCTTCTGTCATACATTTCATCTTGTGTACTCTCCAGGTGCTCTTTCTCATAATTCACACTTTTTTCTTTAATTTTACTAGCATCACCTCTGATATTGTTCCCATTGTTGCTCTCCGCAATTTCTTGTGAGGTAGTTGTGGGCATTACCTTGATTGGTTGTCTTTTGTGTTCATCTCTTACCATGTTGGTCAAGTTGTTCTCTACTTGGATTATCCCTTTGGCATTATCTAGACCCATGTAGAGATATTCTCATTACCTTGATCTTCCTTAGCTTGTCCATCATAATTCGATTTGGTGAACTCTTTAAGCAACTCTTCAACTACTGTATTCGGAGGTATTTGTATTTTCTTTTTCTTTTTCTTTTTCATGTTGTTCTTCTTCTTATTCTTTTTTCGCACGGCTGCAGGTTTGAAAAGAACTATACTTTTTTTTGTGCGGAATTTTTTTCTTCTTCTTCTTCTTCTTCTTCTTCTTCTGTTTACATCTCTTGTTGATTATCTCCTCTTTGTTGATTGAAACATCTTTTTGATCTTTTTCTTGATCAGAATTCTGCTTCCTTTAATCACAGTCCTCGGCTCTCTCCTCCTCTCTTTTTTTCTGTTTCTCTTGGTGTTGGGAACTTGCCATTGATTCCTGTCATTGACTTCCTTGCTATTCTGCCCAAAGCTAATACCTTTATTAGAAATACCAGCTTCTCCTTTTCCTTTGTTCTGCTGATCCACCTGTTTGGCTTGATTCCCATTGGTTTTGCTAATTTCTGAGTCGTTTTGATTCCCTGCCTCGCCTTGATGTTTTTCATTGTTGGCATTCTTTTCTTCTGATTCCTTACTCTTGGTTTTCTTTTCCTTTTGCCTTTCCTTCTCCAGAACTCTGCATTGAAAAATTGAGTGGCCCAAAATCCTGTAGTGTTTACAGTATTTAGGGACTCCCTCATATTCCAATTTCCGAGTGAATCCCTTCAGAGGATTGGATTCATCCTCCTGTCCAACGCACACAGATTGAAGACGCTGGACAAGATGATTGGCGGAATAACATGTTGGACTACAAAGTTTCTCTCCTGTGCTGCTAGAGTGCAATTAATCAAGAGCATCTTATTTTTCATCCAAATCTTTTGGTCTCAGGTATTTGTTCTCCCCAAGAAAATCTACAAGCAGATTATTGCAACTTGCCGGAAGTTCCTTTGGACTGGATAAACAGATGGCTCTAACAAAGCTCTCATTGCTTGGGATACTTTATGCCAACCAAAGTCAGAAGGTGGTGAAAACTTTACTAATATAGAGGTATGGAACAAGGCAGCCATCTGTAAACAGTTTTGGAGCTTGTGCAAGAAACAGGACAAGTTATGGATATTGTGGGTACATGCTTACTACTAGAAAGGGAGTCCTATCTGGGAGACTACCTGCAACCAAGCTTCATGGCTATTAAAGAAATTTTTTAATGAAAGCAAATATGTAACACAGGCAGGCCTATCAATGAGCGATTTGCTGAATATGGACCAATTTTCTATCAGGCAGGTTACCCAAAAATGAGGGGTGAGTACTCTAAGGTACTTTAAATAAGACTAGTTTGTAATAACTACGGTGCTCCTAAATGGATATTCACACTTAGATTGGTAGCTCATGAGAAATTATACACAAGGGACAGGTTGGCAAAATGGGGTCTACTGTCCAACCAACTATGCCCTTTGTATAACTTAGAGGAAGAAAGTATAGACCATTTGCTCTTCAAATGTGGTGTGGCAGCTGAGATATGGCACAAAATGTTACACCGGCAAGGAATCTCTAGACAAGAAATGGGATGGAATGATGAGAGCACTTGGGCTATAACTCACTTTAATGGGAAGAGCTCCAGCGCAGAGGTGTTTAGAATGGTGTTAGCAGGAAGCATCTACTATGTCTGGCAAGAAAGAAATCAAAGAGTATTCACGTGCAATCAAAGGCCTGCTGATATCATCACCAAGTTGATTGTCCAGGATGTGCTCTTCCGAGGGACTATGAGGCCAAGACTGGCAAGGAATCTGCAAAGTCTTAATTTTTATCCATGAGCCTGTATTGTTAAGAGTAGCCTAGTTGACATTAGTTGCTATGCTGGAAACTGAAGCCATTTGCCCAACTTGTAGTTTTTTTTTCTCTTTGTTTGAGTTGTACATATCTTTACTTGGTAAATAAATGTTTTACTTACCAAAAAAAAATATTAAGGATAAATATAAAAAAATGACACCGTTATCATTATATTGATTTGTTCATTAGTTCAACTTTTAAAATTATGATACCACTTATGAAATATCATGCATACGATCACCGATAATGTGTTGGAGTTCAATCAATTGAGAAATCTAACATAGAGCACATTTGGATTGGCTTAAAAAAAGTGGCTTTTCGGTACTTATTGCTTTTAAGCCAAAAAGCAATAAGTTGGAGTTGCCCAGCTTATTGCTTTTGGCTTGTTTTAAGCAATTTTTAACTTATTTTAAGCATTATTTAACTTTGCCAAACACTAAAAAAATCTAAAGAGAGCTTAAAGGCTGATATGACCAGCTTAAAAGCCAATCCAAACATCCTAATACTTGCGAATTAATAAATACATGGAGATTCATACATCATAGATTATCTTGGTTGAGATCATAATTAATTAGGGATAGTATTGGACATAAGACTAAGCAAAATAAGGAGATAATGAAAAAACAATGAAAGAGGCAACCAGAAAGAGTGCATATGCGTAAAATTTATAAAGAAACACAAAGAAAAGAACATCAATTGATTCAATAAACAAAATAGAGGAGGTGAACAAAACCTTATTATTTTCGTATTCATGTCTTATTATATTTTGAAAGGAATACAAATGCATCAATTAAGAAATCAAGCTCCTTTCTTTCCATCCCTCCCATCTAAAGCTAATTTATATATTACACTCTGATCATCATTTTGGAATCTACGCCGTGTATGGAGCTGGCATGGGCATACCCTTGACAATACCGCAAAGAGGGTGGTTGTCTGGGAGGTTGTACTCATCCCTCAAGGAGCGCGACGGGGAGAGAACACTAAAGTATAATTGTTGTCCTAAGTAGAATCTCTCCCACATCTCTGATCGCAAGTTCCACATTCCTGCATTGTCTAAGGTTGTCATTACGGCAGCCCACGAGTTTGGATAGACTTGAATGCTGTGCCTGCTTACTGCGTCTACTAAGTTGTAGTTCTTCCTCTTCTCAGGGCTCCACCTCCCAGGCTCGATGCCCACAGCAAAGAAGGAATACCCATCCAAATGATAGGTCTGGATAGTCTTTTCTTGGTTCTCGAAGATAATCTCCACGAAATTACGGAAGGTAGCATTCTTCACATTCGGGGAAATTGTCACTTTGCTCAAGTCAGATGGAGGCTCATCGGCCATCAGATCGTACTTAAAGGTCTTTTCAGGAACTCCGAAAAACTCAACAAGCTTCAATGGGGTGTCAGTATCCATATGGGAGATACCATTCAAGGCGAATCGAAGCTTGCCAGCTACTTGACTCCTAGAATTGACGATCTTCATGGTGCGAGTGATGTTGATTTTTCCGTAATGGTAGGATCCCTGAGGGTTAGGACGGGCAGCGCTAGCGGTGAGGTTCCATCTAAATGAGCGGAATTGGTTCATGGACCAGGCAATACCTTCAGTGTTATCTGGTGGGGGTGCTGGGAGCTCAGATGATGCTGGTCCCTTACCGTTAGCATAACGAAGGATGGCTACGGAGGAGAGCGCCTGCTTCAGAAATCTGCTAGAAACAACCATGTAATAGTCTTTGGGGTCTTGATCAGCAGTGACCAGGACGGAAAGACACTGACCAACATGAATGTCAAGTGAGTCATAGACATTCTGCACCGTATGTGATCCCTCCATCTCAACCAACTTCATGGTGTGGCCTTGGATCCTGACATTGACTGAGGTCCTCATGCCAACGTTACACATCCTGTATCTATAAGTCTTGCCAGCCTCCATGGTGAAGAGTGCCTCTGTTGCCTTGTCACCAACTTTGCTGGACTTTCCATTAATGTGAATGCCATCAGGCCTCCCAATGGTGCGTCCGCCGTCCAAGATCTTTTTCAAGGTCTTGTGTCCCTTATTGTACCAATCGCCCAAAAAGACATTGTACTCTTCGGCGGGTTTGTCAAAAGGAATAGGGATAAGGTTACGACTATGGACATCGAGGGCACCAAATCCACCAGCTGCACGATGTAAGCCTGTTGTCGGGAAGTAGAAAAAGCTACCGATTTGATCCTTTACCTGGAAATGATAGGTGAAGTTTGTACCAGGCATGATAGGACACATGGTTCCTGGGGTACCATCTTGCCACGAGTTCTTCCTTTGTTGGATACCAGTCCAGGTAAGGAGCAACGGCTCATCCAGGTAATTGTAGACATTGACAACAATATTATTGTTGGATGTGCAATTGATCCTCGGCCCCGGTAGCTGGCCGTTTATGAGAATGCCTTGTTGGGGGACACCCAATGGAGCAATTGTACCGTAAGTAACATTCCATTCGAAGAAGAGGTAAGGGTCCTCAGCCAAAGCTCCAACGGAGAGGCAAAGTAGCAAAGCCACAATTTTCACACTGGCTCTCTCCATGCCTCCGCAAAATCCAAATCTCACTCTATTTTTTGGAATTTTTTTTATAGATTTTTTTTTTTGGGATTTTAATTTATTTTATTTTGACAAAGAAGAAGAGGTGAATGTCTTCTTCTTCTTCTTCCTGCTAGAGCTTGCATTCTTACACTTCGTCGTGATGCTTTTTATAGCAGGAGGTTTCCTTTTTTGAGCCATTCATTATCTCCCGTAATGTACTCTGTGGCTCACTTTTTGTGCTTCACCCCTATTCTTGCATTCCCTTTAATTGTCTCTTGATTCTCCTTGCATTTCTCATTCTTGTTTCTATGCCTTGACTTATTCTTTATAGAATTTAAGAAAAGTTTTAAAGACATTAGTTTAAATTTCTCCTTGTCCATCGATGTAGTAAAATGAACATCGTCTTTCTTTAATCGAAAAGCTTGTAAAAATACAGATATATAAATAGACTTATTCATGATAAGAGAATGTTTCTTCATTAATGTCTTTTTAGTTATTTTTATCTTTCGCTTGTTTTATAAAAAATATGAATAAAATATTTATTTTAACTTAGCTATTTATTACTATCACGGAGCAAAATGTTAACCTTTAAATTTTACGGTATGTAATTGTATATTCTCATAGGAAAGATGTACAACACATTATGAGTACTATTTTTTCAGCTATCATGTCGATTGTAAAGTTAAATAATACTATAAAAATAAAGAATATGTTATAAAAAGAAATGTATTTATGGTGAATGTCTATATTTTAGAGAGACCTTAGGGTTTGTTACTTGGTGACTAAGTCACTTTTCCCTATAAATAGAGGGGTCCTATTCCATTGTAAATCATCCCAAAATTTAATAAGAATTCTCTCTCTACTTTTCTCTACAATACTTTCTTCTTCTTTTATTGTTTCATAACACGTTATCAGTACGAGACTCTATCCAGTTGAGTAGAAGCTTTGGGATTGAGCGTAATGATAGTCCATTATTCCATGAACTTCCTTCATGATTAAATTCTGGATTTAATGTAAGTATTTTATTTTATTTTTCTCTTTTAAATTCTTGATATTCTATAATTTGATTTTAAATACAAGCAAACACGATAAAATTTTTGTAACACTCCTCGAATCTATAAAAGTTTCAAGACCCGCTAAATATAGAATTTAATTTTTATAATCTTAAATTATAGTTTTATTACGGATTAAAAAAAACTTGTGATTGATTTTTAAGTTACTTCTATAATTATAAATAATTGATTATATAATTATGGTAATATTAATAGTTTTAATATTACTAATTATTAAAAGTGGGTATCATTAGTTATTAGTTAAGTCAAAACAAACCAAAAAGGGAAAAACAATAAAAGTAAAATAATAAATAAAAAGGAGGGGGGGCCATACGTATTTCTTTTTAAAAAGGTCAAAAGGCTTGAAAGCCTTAATCAAACCCTACTAAAAAAGAGGCCTGAAGGCAAGACTTAAGTAAAATAAACAAAAAAAAAACAGAACTTGGTTCTGTTCAGTCACGTAGAGGCAAAAAGGCTTAAAGCCTTTGGAAAAGAACGAGAGATCTAGGAGCAAGCACAAAGCAGCGTATCGGTCATTGAGAGCTATTCCGCAGGACCTTCTTTAGGCCACGACTGAGGTAATTCTTCTTACGGAATTGTAAGCTATAACATCATTATATACTAGAATCTAACACCCTAATAAGGTAAATTCATAGGAAAGTTTTACAAGACCTCAAGAACA